GGAGAATGAGCAGTGATGGTGCCTGACAGATGGCAGGAGGGCAGATTAGCTCAAATAATGTCCAGTCCAGGCCACTGCACCCAAATATGGAGGAACTGCACAGGGCATAAGAGGCCAGTCTGTTCCCCACTTTGGCACCTGGGCCCTCTCCATGCAAGGTTCCTATGAAGCGCAGGAGGGCCTCTGTGAGCCTCTTATAACCTTACCCAGCCCTCCCCTCTCTCTTCAGTCTGCTTCTTGACGGAGTGGAGGGTCAGCGAGGCTGGGGATAGGGGGGCATGCCTTTCACAGCCTTGTATGGTGCCTGATTGTGTGTACTGTAGGGGGAGGGTGATTGAACGAGGCTCTTTATACCATAGGTAGATCCTTCCAGTAGACTAGATTTGCCTCCAGGTACTGCCTAAATTGGAGCTGCGGTGGCTCAAGTGGTTAAGACGCTGAACTGCAGGCTGTGGAAGGTCGGTAGTTCAGCAGTTTGAGACCCGGGTGCCACATGACGGAGTGAGCTCCCATCTCTAGTTCCAGCTCCTGCCAACCTAGCAGTTCGAAAGCAAGACATTGCAAGCAGATAAATAGGTACCACTTCGGTGGGAAGGTAACAGTGTTCTGTATGCCTTGGCATCTAGTCATGCCGGCCACATGACCACGGAAACGTCTTCGGACAGCGCTGGCTCTTCGGCTTTGAAACGGAGATGAGCACCGCAACCCTAGAGTCAGATTCGACTGGCTTTCGAGCAAGGGAACCTTTACCTTTACTTTTTACTGCCTAAATAATTCAGATACTTGTTCTAATCCCCCCCCCTAGTCTTGGATGCAATACATTAAAAAAAGCAGGACTTTTATTTTATGTGGGATATTACTGAAGGTTACGTCAGCCGCTCACTTGTTTTTCTTTTGAACTGCATTTGACGTAATTTTTGATGACAGAACTTTTCTATCAGCTGATACCCCAGTACATTATAGCATAGCTGTAAAGTTCATGTCTTCTGTGTCTCTGTGTTTTCCCTCTAGGACAGTGCTCACCTGGTGAGTATTCTCCTGATGGATTCAAGCCCTGCCTTCTGTGTCCTCCTGGAACGTATCAGCCAGAGCCAGGACGGACATCTTGCTTCACCTGTGGAGGAGGCCTAATGACAAAATATACCAGTGCAACAGTGTTTCAGGACTGTGAAACAAAAGGTAAAAAGGAATCTTGATTCAGTGGGAGTGCACAAGAAACTATTCAGTTGCACTTGCTTCAGTCGTAACCAGTGTTCCCTCTAAGCTGAGTTAGGGTGAGTTAACTCACAGTTTTTTAGCCTCCGGCTCACACATTTTTGTCTTAGCTCAGGAAGGATGGCTCCAGAGCAAACTGATTTATGGAGGAGCCAAATCGCTCGCTCACAGCTTTAATGCCAGTAGCTCACAAAGTAGAATTTTTGCTCACAAGACTCCACAGCTTAGAGGGAGCATTGGTCGTGAGTCGTGACTCTTCATAGTGAATCTTGCATCTGTATTAAGGTTGGGGATCCAACCTTAATGAATACACACCAGTCAGTTTTGCCACTTTCATATAGTTTGGAAAGTCCTGCAATGTGGTGCATTTCTAGAGTTTGTATGGAAATGGTGGTCATCAAACGCACATTCATCATACATGGTGGTATGGATTCCAAGTACGTGCAATTTTATATATGAATGTGTAATTCATCATGGATGAAATGGCCTTCAACTGAAAGGTTACAGTAAATCATGTCATAATGTACGAACACCGTGGTACCATGCCACTTGCTCATTCTTTTTCTACAGTGCAGTGCTCACCCGGTCACTTCTACAACACTACCACTCACCGATGCATCCGCTGCCCAGTTGGAACATACCAACCTGAGTTTGGACAACATTACTGCATTGCATGTCCTGGGAATACCACCACTGATTATGATGGCTCAACAAACGTAACACAGTGCAAAGGTAAATACATCTAAATCACTCAGAAATGAAAGGGCCTCTGTAAATTAGCAGTCAGAACATGAAAACAGGAGGATATAGGGTCTGTGTGAAAAGCCACTACACTGTAGTGACTTGGAGAGACCCCGTGTTCAAATCTTAACTTGGCCTCAAGGTTTAGTAGAGCCAGACAGTCTCCAGCTTGAACTACCGTATTTTTCGCTCCATAAGACGCACCTGACCATAAGACGCATCTAGTTTTTAGAGGAGAAAAACAGGAAAAAAATATTCTGAACCAAATAGTGTAATAAAATATTTAATAAACTATAACAGAATAACATTTGAACCATGTAAAGTGAACAGCAGTCAACGGTGGCATTAAGAACCATTATCACTGTCATTAACAAATGGAGAGACTTAAAGGTTTGAGTACTCTAGTTTTCTGGAAACCCCAAGAACTCATCTTTGCTAGAGTCAGAATTTATGAAGCTCATTTGCTCACAATCACTGACATCACTTTCTTCGCTGTCTTCATATAAGATACCGTTTTCACTTCCATCTAAGCCATTGCTAATGCCACATTTTTTGAATGACTGTACAACGATCTCCTCCTTCACTGAGTCCCATGATGTTTTCACCCATTCACAAACTTGAGTGATGGCGGGCCTCTTCATTCGTCCAGTAGATGTCAGATCATGATTACCAGCAGCCATCCATTTGTTCCACTCTTCTCTCATTAAGACCTTAAATGGCTTGTTGATGGAAACATCAAGAGGTTGCAACTGGCTGGTAAGACCTCCGGGAATTACAGCTCGATGAGTCTTCACTTCTTTGAAGCACTTTTTTGTTGGTTCGCTAATATGTGCTCTAAACTGGTCAAGCACTAATAAGGCAGGTTTTTTCAGAAGTCCTCCAGGACGTTTGGACCACACCTTGTTGTTGTTGTAAAAGTGAATGTGTATGCCATATATACTGCCGAGTGCCTTGCTGGAAGTGGGATTAAAATGTAATAACATATTTTATGTGATGCAGTATTTGGCGGTCAGTGTAGCTGGGTTTACTTGCACATCGCCAAGTGATACCTTAAAGCTCCACTGATGCCTTTCTATGTCTCTACCTTGTGCTTCTTTGGTAGTAAGTGAAATTTTGTGGGCTTGCTTGTGGGGGCATCATCTATCCATTTAAGGGAACAGTAGTAATATGGGGATTAATCACCTCACTAGCCCCTTACAGCTACATGACTCCATGTGTAATAGGAAGATTAATCATGGGAATAAGGCTACATTGAGATCATAATCACTTGGAAGCTGCTCTGTGTGGTTCAGAAATCTCTCCGCTATGCATTTGAGGCAATTCCTGAGTAAAATCTCATGAAAAATAGGCTGCAGTAATATGAGGTTCAATGTTCAGTTATTGATCTTTGTTCCTTAGTAGTCCAAACCACTGGGCTTTGCTCAGGGGGGTTGCCCTTATTTTCCAGACACAGCCCTTCAAGGAAACTCTATAGTGCAGCATGCTTTGAGTGAAGATGAATTAACGAAAGGAGACCCAAAGAAAACTGTACAAAATGTGCTTATAATTCATAACAATATAAGATAAGTATAAAGATGTAGTGATCAACAGTTTTCATAAATATTTCCCTCTAGGTGTACAGATGAAAAAGGCTGGTATAAACTTGGATGAAAGAGGATTTATTGAAATAACTACTAAATAAGAGGGTTGTACAATGTAACTAGTAATGTATAAATGATGAACAATTGCTTTGGTATCACACAATCTTATCCCTCACTGACAGGGATCTTTCAGGTAACTTTGTAACACTTAATAAACTATAAACTCAAGGTCATACATGTTCACTGTTTCTCTCCAGTTTATCAGGACATACAGCCTTTCCTATAACTTGTCTTCAATTAAACTTTCATTTACTTTTTCCTATACACTCAGCTTTCCTTCTGTTTTTCTGTCTCACTGAACTAACTTATTCCACACAGGACTGCTTCTCACTTCCCTCACACACCAAACTAACTGTCTAACCCCACATCAACTGTCAACATCTGTAACTGTAAAACCTGACTGACATACATACTCATCCATTCAACAAGTAATGGTACTAATTGTGTTTTAAATGTGGTTCTTGCAACACCGACTATACTTTACAATATTAACGGTTGAAAGCTGAAAGTGTATAATGGCATCTTGTGTTTATTCTTGCATTCACCTATGTATCTGTTTACCTTTTATTGCATAGCTCAAAACAAGACTACTTTACAATTTTATATGTACTCAATACACCATTTTGTATAAGCATGTTATTATGTTACGAAAACTTAATAAATTATATTGTAAAAAAAAAAAAGAAGTTCTCAGAAGAACAACTGGATGACGAAATTCTACAGAGTAAACTTCCGTTTTGTAGGATACTTCTTCTGAAAGTCCTAATAAAATACATAACATTTTCAACTGCAGTCATGTACAACAATTCTTAAACCCAAGCAAAATATACCATTGCTCAATAAAAATGCTATACATACCAAAACTGTCTCTCCTATTTTCATAGATTGCAATCTTTTCAAAACAGGGTAATATACAAAATCTGAAAGAGGAAAACAGGTAACATTCTTATAAGTTACTCCGGAGAATTTCGTCATCCAGTTGTTCTTCTGAGAACTTATTTTTCATCTGTATACCTGGAAGGAAATATTTATGAAAATTGTTGATCACTATGTCTTTATACTTACCTTATATTGTTATGAATTATAAGCACATTTTGTACAGTTTCCTTTGGGTTTTCTTTTGTTAGTTTTTGTGGCTGTGACCCTCTCTGTGTTTGCCGTTTTTGAGTGAAGATGAAGGCAGGGGAAGCTTCGCAAAAGGTCAGGGGTCCCCATCATGGTTCCTATGGATGCCATGGTGCCTGCTGACACCTTTCCTGTGCCCAGGTGTTTTTAGGAAGGGGGGTAGGGCCAGGTAGGCATTTTCTCCAGCAAGGCTTCTGTCTGGGCTGCACAGATTTCTTAAAAATGTTGCTTTGGTAGAAGCTGCCTCCACAGCACAAGGATCTTTACTGAGTGGTGGAAAGAAAGCTGCAGCAGCCATTTTGTTGGCTGCACCCACCATGCTGTGTCGGAATGCCAAAAGTGCCCACAGGCTCAAAAAAGGTTGGGGACCCCTGCAATAGATGCTCTTTGGTATAGAGTGATATGGGGGGGGGGATATTTCTGTACATTTCTACCGAAAACAATGTTTTGTAACAAAATAAGTAAGGGGTATCACTGTGGGCAAGCTGTCTGTTCATATGGCAATATGTAGTGGGAAAACATGGTAGGACTTGTCAAGTGAGCAGAGGGTTCTTGGCTCAAACCAGCTCTCTGACAAAGCAAAAGGGATTAAGTGTGCGGTTAAGTGGTTAAGTGTGCGGACTCTAATCTGGGAGAACCGGGTTTGATTCCCCACTCCTCCACTTGCACCTGCTGATGTGACCTTGGGTCAGTCACAAGCTCTGGCACAGCTGTCCTTGAAAAAGAGCAGTTTCTGTCAGAGCTCTCTCAGCCCCATCCACCTCACAGGGTGTCTGTTGTGGGGAGGGGAAGGGAAAGGAGTTTGTAAGCCGCTCTGAGACTCCAAGTGAAGGGCGGGGTATAAATCCAATCTCTTCTTCTTCTTCTTCTTCTAAATAGCATACGGCTTTCCGTCTGCCTACTGTCTCATCTTAAGGGTACCTAGACATGTTTCTGGGATATCTTGCCTGTTCAGGACACCTCTAACCCTTAAATACTGCCTCCCAGTGGTGACACATTTTCCTTCATCTCCAGCAGACACCTGATTCCTGTTACCTCCCCAGCTCTTTTGTGAGACACTGTAGTCATACGAAGAGCGTTCCCAATCACTTGGCAACACAGGGGGCAGTGTTTGTCTGGTGTCTCCAGTAACGGGTGGGAGTGTGCGTGTGTGTTGAGCTGGACAAGGTGGCTTACTTCTGCAGTGCTCCCTTGTCTTTCCTAGCTTCAGTTCTGGGCCAGTTTAGCTCTAAGCTCTTTATCATTAACCAATCTCCTAATCACAAATACTATGAGGTTTAAGCCAGCATGCGTTTTGCAGCTTCAGTTACAAGCCCCTCATTTTGCTTCTGGCTGACCTCTGGGAGGTTGGAAAGCCCCTGCAGACTCAGGGCTCTTTTTGTAGCAGGAACTCCTTTGCATATTAGGCCACACACCCCTAATGTAGCCAATCCTCCAAGAGCTTACAGAGCTCTTCTTACAGGAGCTACTGTAAGCTCTTGGAGGATTGGCTACATTAGGGGTGTGTTGCTTAATATGCAAATGAGTAAAGGTAAAGGTAAAGGTTCCCTTGCTCGAAAGCCAGTTGAATCCGACTCTAGGGTTGCGGTGCTCATCTCCGTTTCAAAGCCGAAGAGCCAGCGCTGTCCGAAGACGTTTCCGTGGTCATGTGGCCGGCATGACTAAACACCAAGGCGCACGGAACGCTGTTACCTTCCCACCAAAGTGGTACCTATTTATCTACTTGCAATTTCTTGCTTTCGAACTGCTAGGTTGACATGAAATGAGTACCTGCTACAAAAAGAGCCCTGCCTGCAGTGATCCAAAGTCTCAGCTCCCCTTGCTCCCCAAGGGTGCCAAAAACAAACTGGGCCACCCCTGCTGCCAGCAGTGATGCCAAGAGTATCTCCTGCTAAACGGAGTCACACGTCTAGCACTCTGTACCTGCCTTGCCATTTAGATGGTTTACCTGTTGCCGATCCAAGGACCTCACTAAACCATCCAATCGGTAGTAGCGACGGGCGGTGTGTACAAAGGGCAGGGACTTCATCAACGCGAGCTTATGACCCACACTTACTGGGAATTCCTCGTTCATGGGGAATAATTGCAATCCCCGATTCCCATCAGGAATGGGGTTCAACGGGTTACTTGGAGCTGCGGTGGCTCAAGTGGCTAAGACGCTGAACTGCGGGCTGTGGAAGGACCGGAAGTTCAGCAGTTCGAGACCCGAGTGTGCCGCATGACGGAGTGAGCAGTTCGAAAGCAAGAAATTGCAAGTAGATAAATAGGTACCACTTCAGTAGGAAGGTAACAGCGTTCCGTGCGCCTTGGCGTTTAGTCATGCCGGCCACATGACCACGGAAACGTCTTCGGACAGCGCTGGCTCTTCGGCTTTGAAACGGAGATGAGCACCGCAACCCTAGAGTCGGATTCGACTGGCTTTCGAGCAAGGGAACCTTTACCTTTACCTTTCCACCAAGTTATCATGGGGTGATTTGTCGCAGTTAAGCAGTTTCAAGCTGTTGTGCTCCAGGGAAGGTGAGCTTACACACTGCTCCTCCCTGTTAATTGAACTTCAGATAGCAAGACTTAAATAGGCATGGTGTTTTTCCAGAAATCAGATTTAGAGCATTCAAAATGTCAGAACATATAATAAATTGATAAATATATATATATACATGTTCTCTCCATTGTCTTTTGCTGCATGGACAAGATGGAGTCCCTAGGTAAAGGTTTAGTTCTTCATGGCTTGTGCCTCTGCCTCCATAGTCAGAAATTGGGAGCTACAAGTTCTTCTTCCTTGAGTCCTGAGTTTAAATAACCTCTGTCTTTCTCCCTTCTGCCTTGGGATGACTCACTGTTCCTTCCTGTCCCAAACGAAGAGTTTTTGATCTAGCACGGTAACCTTCCCAAGTTCATGAGTCTAGGTGACTTGCCCCTTTTGAAACAAGCAGGATCTGGGGTAATGAAACATTGTCCCGCTTTGGCTAAAGTCATTAGGGTCTGAGTGCCCTGTTCTTGGAGCTTGATGGCTCCTTCCTTCAACCTCCTCCTTTCAGCCAGCTTTGAATTTACAGTTGAGTTTCTGCTCATGGACAAAGTACATATTGTGGTGAGTTCTAGGATGAAGGGCATTTCTCCACCGTTGCTATTAATGTTGACAGGACAAACTGTACTCTGCAGAGACACTTTTTCTTTCTTTATGAACTATGTGAAGTGACTACCTATTAATATGATTTTAGGAAGCTGGGATTTCGTACTGGTGACATGACCTGGGATATTTCTTTTCCTGTCTACTCCTGCTATGGGTGATACGTTTCTTTTTCAGACAGGCACTGTGGTGGCGAGCTTGGAGAATTTACCGGATACATTGAATCCCCAAACTATCCTGGAAATTACCCTGCAAATACTGAGTGTACCTGGATGATAAATCCACCTCCAAAACGGCGCATCCTGATTGTGGTCCCGGAAATATTTTTGCCAATAGAAGATGAATGTGGGGACTACCTTGTGATGAGAAAAAGCTGTAAGTTAAAGTAAACCTTGTATATAATGTAGAAGTTGCATTTATTACAACAACAAGCCATAGAATGCACATGCTTAAATGTAAGATTTATATAACTGAATTTAAGACAATATATATGTAAAACCGGTATAAAATAAATATCTATAAAAATACAGTCATGCATCATAAAATAGAGGAAAAGCATAAAACAGAGACTACTAGGCAACCATTCTTATATTATATGCTCAATAGTTTCTGTCTCCCCTGAGCCACATTGACAAAATCTGTATTCAATAGGGATCCTTTTGAATCTGCCCTCAAGCATCGCGGAGGGGAAAGCCTCACATCTGGCTAATGTGAAGGCTTTCCTAAACTTCTGAATATTGAGCTGCGATAAATAGGACATGGGTTGAAAGCGATATTTGACTCCAAACTTAGGACATCTACCGAGATCTGCCTGTCTCTCCATGTCCATCATTCTCTGTTTTAGGGCTGATTTTGCTACATCCCATCGCATACTCAAAATTGCTTGGGGGGGGAAAGCCAAGAGCATGTAGTTTATTATGAACTGCTCTCAGCCATTTGGATTGAAAGTTGTCTGAAAGTAACAAATGAGTTAATCGCTGAGGCCGGAAATTTAGTTTTAGCCAATGCTGGAGTAAAGCTAAAGTAATTTTGGCTTCCATCGATATAATACCTTTTTCTGAATGGATCAGTGTGTTTGATACTCACCTTGGGACCTGAAGAACTGCTCTAAAAAATTTGGACTGAACCCGGTCTAAGGGGGCAAAACTAGAGGAAGGAGGCCCAATAAAAGTGCCATAAAGCATCTGTGCAACTGCCTTTGCTTGAGTTTTTGGGCAGTTGGCACATAATATGCCCCTTTGGTGCAATAGAACTTAAGAATAGTATTGGCTGTTCTTTCACCTTGGGAGGTGACATACTGTATATGGGCTTTCCTAGCCCCCTTTGATTGAAGGATCATACCTATGTATTTAAAGCAGGAAACTTGCTCTAATAAGTGCCCATTTACAGACCAAATTCTTTTCCTTTGTCTAGGCCCAAAGGCCATAACCTTGGTCTTTTGAAAATTTATTGTTAGTTCCTTGTTATTACAAAAGTCTGCAAACTTACTGAGAGCTCTCCTAAGGCCAACCGGTGTTCTAGCTAAGATGACAACATCATTGGCATATAATAAGATAGAAACATGTTGTTGATGGAGTTTTGGTGGATGTAAACTGGGGGAGTCCAAGTAACTTATTATATCATTAATATATAGATTAAACAGGGAACCCTGTTTAGTAAGCAACCCTGCCTAACTCCCCTATAGGTGTTAATAGGGTCTGATAAATTTCCTTTCCTATTAAGCCTAACCTGCAATTGAGCGTTATCATGAAGAGCACGCAACAAAAAGAGGAGCCTTCTGTCAATTGAGGAAGCTTCCAAACCGGCCCACAATTTTGGTCTCGAAATTGAATCAAAAGCAGCTTTCAAGTGTTGTATATAATGAAGGAAAGTGTATGTTCTGCCTGAGTCAAAGCCAGTTGCTTGAAATCTCGCCCTAAAAAGTAGCAGAACAGACTTCATGTGACTACAGATTTGGCAGTTGTTTCAACTGTCATGGATAAAAGATAATATATATTTCAGAGTAAAATGGGGGGGGGGAAATGATTCATGGTGAGACGAAGAAATTCTCCTTTCCTACATCTGCCTCCCTCCGAACCACCACCTCTCATGATGTATTGGCTTGCCAACTTATTATTAACTGAGATCGAGGCAGCTCTTAATCAAGTGATTCATGTTTATTCAGCTCATAACAACACAAGAATAGACAGAGACTTCAAGACGAAAAGACATAGAACCCAAGCTGACTTATATATGATTTGAAACAGGGTAAACCACACCCAACAAACAGATAACAACCAATAGAATTACAGGGGTTGGAACCTATGAGAGTGCTTCCCGCCGAAAACATATGCTTCTCTGATTGGTTAGTTCTTCAATCCAAACTCTGCTTTGTTTTAATGGAACTTATGATTAAGTTAAACATTGCTTTATTACTTAAGACATAACACAACTAATCCCTGGAGCTACAGGTCAGATGCTTTCCTGGTTGCTGGTACCACGAGGCCTCTTCTCTCTTAGCCCTTTTGGATCCTTGGGTGCAGTGCCTTCAGAGCAGCAGCTTTTGAGTGCTCCTGTGCACTGGCTTTATGGCTCTGGGCAGCTTTCCAGCCAGCCAGCTTCTTGCTATCACCGTTATGCCAGCTAAGAGATTCCAGGGTATAAAGTATAGTCTTGTGCGTTCTCCCTTCTACGTAGAAGGACAGAATGCATCCATAAGGAAGGCTTGCTAAGGCGTTGAGAGGCAGCTTCCTCATCTGACGTTCCCAGCCTGACTGAATCCAGGCCTTGTAAATAGCAAACTGGATGTTAGCCTTAGCTGGCACAGTACTGTTATAAGGCTAATGTACATGAACTAGCTACGACTGCACAGTTTTTAGTTAGGTTACCTCTTTCTGTGGTGCAGATGTTTTGCCTTCCCCAGGTGTTGTTGGCAGAGTAATTAACGCAGCAAAGGTGCACAGCTGTGTAGATAAAGCTTTATTCAGGAACTACCATACTTGATAGTGAAGAGGAGAGCCAGAGATAGTGTCTTAAGTATATCACTAGCTGAGAGGGAGAAAGAGACTAAGTGTGGAACTTCTGAGGAAGAGGAGAATATTACCCTAAGGCAGTGGTGGCGAACCTATGGCACAGGTGTCAGAGGTGGCACTCAGAGCCCTCTCTGTGGGCACGTGTGCCATCGCCCCAGCCAGGCCCAGACCATCATTAAAGTGTCGAATTCTCTGCCAAATAATTTTAAGTAAATGAAAGCATTTGAGATTGCTCTCCTTACTTTGTTTCAATCATCTTAAATTAATGTATGAGTTGTTTTTTTCTAAAGTAAAACCTTAGTATTCAGGTTAAATTGCCAGGTTGGCACTTTGCGATAAATAAGTGGGTTTGGGGTTGCAGTTTGGGCACTCGGTCTCTAAAAGGTTCGCCATCACTGCCCTAAGGGTAGCAATCTGGAGACAGACAAAGAGTGACCCTTAGCAGGAGAGAAGGTCCTGACCTCACTATCCTATCTAATGGTCTTGTTGCTGCCCCCTACAGGGTCTTCTTCTCTCCTTCTTTGTACACCAGACATTGCCTAGTGCCCTAGTCCAACAGTTGTGGGGTTTTTTTTGCATATTTGGAATGAGAATGCTAAAAGATTGGACTATATATGGTGTATGTTGTTATGTAGTGGGTTGCCGCATGGAGAAACGACGGATGCCGACGTAGTGCATAGCACGCTTTATTAGGTACACAACAAGACGAGAGGGCAACGGCCCGGGGGCCAACTATATGCATCCCTGGGGACACACCCCTGGTCACCATTGGTGGGTTTGAATCTCCCGCCACAGCTCCCATTGGCTCCCCAGTGGAGGGACTAGGAGCCTAGTCCCTATTGTTGTTCCAGAGTCAAGCTCTGGCAGCTCAGGCTGACCTCTGGCCCCCCGGTGGCGGTCAGCATACACAACATATGTCTAGGCCCAAAAGCCGAAATCTCCCAGCTTTGTTGTTCTGCTGAGTCATGCCACCTCCCCCAGTTTTGCCAGTGACCATTAATGGCACCAAAGTTTATTTTTTGTGTGTGCACAGAATGGGAAAATACAGGCAGTGTTGCAATCAAAACATCAGAACTCCGCTTTTGCTGTACACTGAGGTTAGACAGTCAACTTAGTAAAGGGATGCGTGCGTGAGCATGGATTCTTTCTCAAAGTCTTATGTCCGTCTTGTACACTGAGCTGGCTTTTCTTTTTATTAGCTCAGCTTGTTACAGAGGTGTGGCTGAGGTGTGTTTTGTGCAGAACTTGCATTTTTGAAAATACCTTGTGCAAAAGGTATTTCCTTGCCCCCACAGTCGGAATAACGAGACGGACAACAGTTTGGATCAAACAAGGGCCACTTTATTAACTATATACAGTTTATTAACCAAAAACGGCAAGGGAACAATTCCTAAGTAGCGGAACAGACAAGGCAGGTGTCAGGCTGACCAGCCTCCTTGTCTAATATGTGGGCGAGCCACCAACCCCGGTCTTGAGCCATTAATCTGGCTTGCGACCAGCAGCCCAGCCCCTGGTAGCCTCCCAGGAGCGCCTACCCCTGAAACCATACAGCTTGCAGAGAGGAGCTTACCCAAGAGGTTCCCAGAGGGAATCATCATTCACCGCCCAGGGCCTTAATAACCCGCAGGCCGCGGGAGCGGAGCCGAGCCTAACTAGGCTGGCTCCTCCCCCCACGTCTCAGCGCACTGCGCTGTGACGCTGTTGCCGCCCCGCCTTCCTCCACGGCGGCAAACCAGCTCCCGGTCGCCATTGTCTTCGGCGGTGACCGGGAGCTCCCTTCTTTGTTGTTTCGTTGTTGTTTTTTTAAGTGGGAAATGTTTAAAGCCAAGAGCACATTTTCAGTTTTCACATACAGGTAAAAGACCAATGTCTTGTCAGTAATATGTGTGAAATGTTATACTTATTTGTGGGTCAGGATATCAGCAAAATATTTGGTCAGTGATAGGACATAGACAAAATTGGGCAGTTGCTCATGGCTCCAGTGCCGTCGCTCCTTTTTTTACTGTCAGGTCGCAGCTGGCCCCGTAATGTTTTCAAGGCAAAAAATGTTCAGAGGCAGTTCACCATGGCCTGCCTTTGTGTAGTGATCTTCCTGGACTTCCCTGGCGGTCTCCCATCCATGTATTCACCAGGGTCAACTCTGCTGAGTATCTGAGATCTGATGATACTGGGCTAGCCTGGACTATCCAGGTCAGGGCTAATCCAACATTATTCCCTGAGCCCTAATGACCATCTTTCTCTTGTAGCACCGATGGGACTGTTCTTAGGAAGGGGGAAAGAGCACTAATGGTTGCCTAGAAACATCCTGTGATGCCCTTAAACCAGAGGTCATTTCGGGGGGAATCGCGGGGGATCGCAGTCCCCCCGGGTGAGGTACGGGGGCAGGGCACATGACGAAGCCCCGCCCCCTGCTTCCGGCCTCCCCGCTTCGGGCCCTCATTCAGCCAGGAGGAGGCAGGAGAAGAGGGAGGGTAAGTTGCTTCCTCCCTGCCTCTCCCCACCCCTGCCTGCCTGGGGCCAGGGAGGGCCTTCGTGGGGCTTCCTTGCACTTCCGCCGGCCTTGCAGGTCCACCACCGGCCCCCTCATGGGGCTCGGCAGTGGAGCTGCAAGGCCGGCAGCGGCGGCCGGGACCGTTGGGGGCGGGGTGTGTGGCCTTATGACACACTTCCGGCGATGTCAGGGGGTGTGGCCTTATGACACACTTCCGGTGATGTCAGGGTGTGTGGCATATGCTAATGAGTTCCCCTAGCTCTTTTTCTACGAAACGACCCCTGCCTTAAACAGATTGATAGGAGGGGGACATGTTAGTGATTGCCATCAAGCGAGTCATTTTCTGCTTTTCCCCAGCAAGCCTCAGGCTGACTAAAAGTGCAGCAGTGGAGTATGCCAAGTAAACAGAGAGTTTCTTCACAGGAAGAAGCAGGACTATTTTTGGGCAGGAACGCACAGGAACGGAGTTCCGGCTGGCTCCCAAGTTGGCCACGCCCAGCAGGAACTCATTAGCATAATAGGCCACACCCAACAGCAGAAACTCATTAGGATTGGCTACATTAGGGGTGCGTGGCCTAACATGCAAAGGAGTTCCTGCTACAAAAAAAGGCCCTGGGTTTTGACAACAAACAAGGTAAACAGAATAACAAGCAAAAGGTGGGTGTGGCTGGATAACCACACTTCTGGTAACATGGGGGTGCGGCCTAATGTGCTAATGAACTGTGCTGTCAGGGGTGTGGCCTAATATGCTAATGAGTTTCTGCTGTTGGGTGTGGCCTATTATGCTAATGAGTTCCTGCTGGGCTTTTTCTACAAAAAGAGCCCTGGCAAGAAGTATCATATGGCTGTAGGACTTATGGGGTTGGGGGAGGGGAGAAGGTAAGAAAGAGGAAGGATGTTGTGGTTCAGTAGGAAGAAGTAAGCCGATAGAAGTCTGATACTTGCATGTTGTACATTTTGTTTGAAAGCTTCCTCGAATTCTGTGACCACGTACGAAACCTGCCAAACCTACGAACGCCCAATAGCTTTCACTTCCAGGTCTAAAAGGCTGTGGATCCAGTTCAAATCAAATGAAGGAAATAGTGCTAAAGGATTCCAGGTCCCTTATGTAACATATGATGGTAAGTGCCTATTCAGACACGATCAAACTAAAGTATAAACATTTCAGTACTTTGTTTTCTTTGTTTTAACTTCCAGCTTGCCTGATCCCAAGGATTCAGGTGCAGATATTTGTGTAAGTAAAGACCTGTGGGCTCCCAGTTTATACCAGAACGGTGGTGTGAGCAGGTAGTTTAAACCTTGCCCACTGCATTGCTTTCTGAACCAGAAATATATTCAGTGGGATAAACCGAAAGTATTTTTTGGGGTGGGGGAGAGATGTTTGATTTGCATAATACCTTCTGAAATTATATCAGATTTTGTATTGTACCATTGTCATGACTAGGGATGGGCATGCATGATCCAGAAAAATGGCAGTCTGTTGAGGTCCGTAGGTCCGTGGGGTTTACAGATCCCCGAATCACAAACCTCCACATTTAATGGACCAGGTCATGGTCAGTTTAGTCTATGACTCTGTGCGGCTTACAAAGCCATTTAAAGGGAATACGTTCCCTTCACTCACGCATTGCGGTGCTTTACAAAAGGCATTTAAAAGGAACCCGTTCCCTTTAAATGGCTTTTGCAGACCCCACCAAAACAGACCTCACAAACCTCCTGGGAGGGTTGTGAACATGTGTCAGACTCACAGCAAACAATGAAATACACTCTTGCAGGAAGGTTTTATTTTATTGAAGCCATGAAGTACTTAGAACAGATGTTCAGTTCAGAATAACACAAAGGGCTTGAGACTGGTATAATAAAGCAAGTTCAAAATAACATGGGCCAATAGATATGGTTCCCGCGCCCGCCTTGAGGGCTCATCTCACGCTCAAACCTTGAGAAAGCAGCGGTTATAGCTGATTAAACAATTCTTCTATTCTCACACTACTGTTCATTATAGACTAAGCAAAAGCCTCCAAACGCGAACCACCTGTAGCCTTGGCTGATAAGGTTCCTTCAAAGCAACGCTAGCATACATGGAAAGGAATGTCGTTGATGATGAGCGCTTGAGGGTGGGGGGGACATGCGTACAAGAGTCCAAGCCAGTTAAGGAGGGGGGGGGGTAGACACATCTCATATGCACGGAAAAGACTTATTGGCAGCTTGCTGACAACATGTGGGAGGTCTGTTTCAGCGGGATGGCATGGATCAGGCTCACGCCCTGGTCCGTGGAAAAATTAGGTCCGTGGTCCAGTCCATGCCCATCCCTACTCAAGATACATTCTTACACAAAAATGGCACAGGTAGACATTTTAGAACATCTCAACGTTGGGAGTACTTTGACATAGCTCAGAGCCTGTCCCCCCCCCCATCCAGTTGGGTTTTGCAGTGGTTGAAATGTTGTGTCTTACCTGTCATGGTTCATTGCACTATCCTAGAGGGAGGCTACCTCTTGTAATGTATAAATGATTTCACACTTACTGCTTGGAACCTGAGTTTAGGCCTACTCAGTGTTTTAGGCGAAACTAATTTATCTCAAGGAAATTGGCAGCTTCTTCTCCCACATGTGATCTCTTTGGCAGTGATCCCAGGCTAAACGGCAGCTACTCCGGGGCAATGTTTCCTTTAATTATTCCCCTTACTGAGTGGGGCAGTTCACATCCTGAGCAAAATAGCACTTCTTGAAATCTTAAAATGGGCAGTAGGCAGTGCAAGTCCCTGCGTGGCTCCAGAATGCTGCTGAGTGGGGCTTCCTGTGTTAATGAGCACCTTAGAGGGGAAACTGCTCTGGGGTAACAACCGGCAGAAAATGTCTGGTTAGACCATGATGGACTCCCAAGTGCTTGAAGGCTTCATCGCTTCATCTTTGGCTTTGCTGCATAAGTAGCAACTTTCTGATCTTTTTTATAAATGCTTGTGACGTTGCTTAATTTGATTCCCATAAAGAAAACACATCACTGGAAACAGGATCATACATTCAGTACAAGAATAACAGGCGGTTAAACAATGTGCTGTCGAAGGTTAAACAATGGTTTGCTTATTATACATGTCAAGAAGGAAAAGTAAGAACATTTGATGAAGGGATATTTTTAACACTGAGCGGATTTCTCTAGCGAAGAATTTCTTTGAAGTGCACCACAGACGCAGTTTATAGAATCATCTAAGACTGCTTATGATGTCTGCCTTGGACAGATTAATGGTAAACAGCTCAGTATGCAGAATTTTCTCTCTTCCTAGTAAATTGTGAAGTTGCTTTCATCAGACCCTTTTGAAATGTGTTAATGTTGCTAATCCGAGAACCAAGCAACAGTCTTGATTACACACGAGTAAACACCCACTTGAACCATGTACATGTAAATCCCTTCTGTGTGTGTTTCCTGTTGATATAATAAAAGGAGATATTTGTAGTTCTGTAACTAAATCAGCAAAGCTGATTCATTATGTGTCTCCAACAGAGGACTATCAGGAACTAATAGAAGACATAGTCCGGGATGGTAGACTGTATGCATCAGAAAATCATCAAGAGATCCTTAAGGTATATTTCCTGTATTACTTTTCTCTTGAATTAATAATTAAGTGTTTGAATTTGCTACAGACTCTGAAAATAAATAGCTCATGGTTTTCACCATTGCCTGTTGGTTTGAACAACTTTGAGGGGGAGAGAAGAAACACATGAAAAGTGAACAGGCCAAGACAAAACCAACACCCCCCCACACACACACACACACTACCATTGCTTCTTTTATCGTTATTGTTGTTGTTCTTAGATTGTTTATAGTCTCCCTTTCTCACTGAGACTAAGGCAGATTACATAGTGTAAACCAAGTACAAGCAACTAGAGCCATACAATAAGGTCTGGACTACAGAAATCTGATAACAGGCAGAAACAAAAGTGTGAGCTTTTAAACATGTTATTCTAAGTGACGTAGAAACTACCAAGTCTGGAGCATAATTACAGTGCTAGGTAGCAATACTGTGGTGTCGGTCATAGTCCTTATCCCTTCACCAATGCAACTTTCTGCTCATTTCATTACAGCACAGTTATACTTAAAAAGGTAAAGGTTCCCTTGCTCGAAAGCCGGTCGAGTCTGACTCTAGGGTTGCGGTGCTCCTCTCCGTTTCAAAGCCGAAGAGCCAGCGCTGTCCGAAGATGTTTCCGTGGTCATGTGGCCGGCATGACTTAACACCAAGGCGCACGGAACGCTGTTACCTTCCCACCGAAGTGGTACCTATTTATCTACTTGCAATTTCTTGCCTTCGAACTGCTAGGTTGGCAGGAGCTGGAACTAGAGACAGGAGCAAAAAGCCCTTTTGAATAATTCCATTTGGGTTAGTTTGCGGAGAGCCCAGGAGAGTGGGAGCTTTCCTACCCTCATCAGGGAAGCCATTCTGTAAGGCGGTGGACACAACAGAGGAACGCCTGTGTCCGGGTAGTTGTTGATTTTGCCAGTTTGCATGGCAGAGGGTGGGGAGAGAGGTGGTTCTGCACGTAAGAGGGACCGAGGCCACAAAGAGCATTGTATGGGATAGTCAGTACCTTGAACTGAGCCCGGTGGGCAGCCAGTGGAGTGACTGCAGAATGAGAGTGATGCTCATGTTCTGTTCATCTCCCAATAACAACCTAGCGGCAGTGTTTTGAACTAACTGGAGCCTCTGGATTTACTTTGAGGGGGGACACCTCTGTGGAGTGCATTACAAGTAGCCTGGTCTCAATGTTACTATGGCAAGCATCCAGGTGGTCAGATTGGATGATTGGGAAGGGGCCACCTTGCGGGCTAGGCTGCATTGGAAGACAGCATTTTTTTCTGCATCTGAGTTAAGTTGTGAAGTGATGATGGATCTAGTATAACCCCAGGGCTTTTAACGGAGTCAGCAAATGTTAGCTGAACCCCTTCCCAATCAGCTTCACTTCCATCTAGTCTGGGTTGAGATTTAATTAGGGTTGCCAAACTCCCACGGTTTGCCAGGGGCAGTGTTCCCTCTAAGGTGAGTTAGTTGTGTGCTAGCTCACAGTTCTTTAGGCTCTGGCTCACACATTTTTGTGCTCCCTCAGGAAGGATGGCTCCAGAGCAAACGAATTTATGCAGTAGGCAAATGGCTTGCTCACAGCTTTAATGCCAGGAGCTCATCAAGTAGAATTTTTGCTCACAAGACTTCACAGCTTAGAGGGAACATTGGCCAGGGGTCCCCCATTTGGGGGGGGGGTTTCCTACCCGACCCCAAAACCCACAGCCACCCCTCTCCCTTCTCTCTAGAGAGAGAGAAGGGTGGCTGCTTTTAAGTGCATGAAGCCCACGTTTCCTCCCAAGCCCGATCTCCGCTTGAGATCAGGCTTGCAGGGAAATGCCAGCTCTTTGCTCTTAAAGGGGAAATGCCGGCTCCGTGCACTTAAAAGGGAAACGCCGGCTCCTTTAAGTGCAAGGAACTGGCGTTTCTGGAGAACGGGCGCGCGGGCGGGCGGTGAACGTCCCCAACGTGATGTCATTACGTCGGGGATGCCCCGCCCCCTCCAGGAACACCCCCAAAGTCCCCCGCTGGGGGTGGAAGATGGACTTGGCAACCCTAGTTTTAATTTATTTGCTTTCAGCCAGTCAACCACAGCAGTCAGGCAGCAGCTCAGGACCTCTACTGCATCACCAGGGAATTTTGATAGGGAGATGTAAAGATGGGTGTCATTGGCATTACTGATGACATTCAGTTCCAAAGCTATGAATGATTTCTCCTAAATGCTTTACATAGAGGTCGAATAACCTGGGGGATACTGTCCATGGGGTTTCTTGGCAAAGATACTGGAGTGGGTTGCCATTTCCTTCTCCAGTGGATCACACTTGGTCTGAGTTCTCTGCTGTGGCCTGTCTGTCTTGAGTGGCCCTCCACGGCATAGCCCACAGCCTCCTCGAGCCACGCAAGCCCCCTCGCCACGACAAGGCCGTGATCCATGAGAAGACCCTGATGCTGGCAAAGATTGAAGGCCAAAGAAGACGGGGACGGCAAAGGATGAGAGGGTTAGACAGTGTCATAGATGCAACGAACATGAAATTGAGCCAACTTCAGAGGACGGCGGAAGACAGGAAGGCCTGGCGTGATCTGGTCCATGGGGTCCAGCCCCGTAGCTAGGGAATTCTTTGGGAGGGGGCCTTGGGGGGGCCCGCCAGCTAATTAAATGGAAGTACAGTGCAGGTGGTAAGTTGGAGCACTTTGGGGGCAGCCCCGTAGGGAGGGGGCCCAGAAGAAACACAAGGGGGCCAGGCCCCGTGGGCCCCATGCTAGCTACGGGCCTGATGGGGTCGCAAAGAGTCGGACTCGACTGTGCGACTAAACAACAACAACAATCATGGGGGATAAGACTGCACCTGAGGAACTCCACAAGATGATTCCTGCACTGAAAACAGATGGTCTCCAACAGCAACTCTTTGAGTCTAATTTATGAGAAATTATTTAAATCAGTCCCAAGGCATATTTCTGATCTTAAGCTAGCGTTGAAAAACAGGTGGGGCAGTGCAGTGCTGCAGCAGACAGCCCAAGTAGTGCTCCCCTGCTTCTGAAAATATCCCATCCATTCAGGGGTCATTTCCTGCAGGAGCGCAGAGGAGCAGAGCTCCGGCAGTAAAGAGCCCAGGGGGCGGGCACATGCAACAAGCCCCACCCCCTGCTCCCAGCAGCCCTCAGTCAGAGCAAGAAGCAGCCAGGTAAGTTGCAGAACCCCCCCCCCACCCCCCCAGTCCAAAACAGTCCAGTGGCACCTTTAAGAC